GCCGGGCCTGCGCCACCGGGCCTGCGCCTGCGAGTGGCCGCCGTCCGCAGGTGGCAAACTGAAGCCGAAAACAAGGACTAAGAACTTGCAACTATAAGCAACAGAAAGAATCTTTAGCTGTCTTAAACCAATTGAGAAATATATTGTATAGGAGGATTTTTCTCTACCTATGGACAGTGAGAAGATGATGGTTACCAGCCCTGCATTACCTCTGGGAAAAACAAGAACTACTCTATCATTCTTAAAGAAGCCAGATACCCAAGGTTAACTCACGCTGCAGATCCCCACACCACCATTCCCGGTAATCACAAGATGGCTGCTGTGCCGCATCAACTGATGGTCATCTCTGCTTATCAGAACCGCTTTCCTGAAACTGTATTCCATGGAGACTCACCTACAATTGCGGAACTGCACGAGACCCACCCTTAATTCAACCCTGAATAGAATCTATGTTCCCTATTGTTAAAAAAAAAAGAAAATTAATCAAAATGGATCAAAGTTCTAAGTTCAATAGTTAAAAGTTTACCTAAGAAGAAAATATAGGTGAAAATCTTTACGACCTTGGATAGGTCATGCTTTCTCAAAGTATAAGCAACCAAAAAGTTGACAGATAATCTGGACTCTATCAAAAGACATTATCAACAAAGTTAAAAGACAACACACAAACAAGAGAAAACATAGTCAGGTTTTCATAAAGTATTAAAACTTAATAATAAAGAGACAACCAACCCAATTTAAAAACAGAAAAGAGATCTGAACAGACATTTCTTCATACAAGAAGACAAACAAATGCCCAATAAACAATAAGAAGATGCTTAACATCACTAGTCATTAAAGAAATGCAAATCAAAATCTCAATGATATACCACTTTACATCCAATACATTATTAAAAAAAAAAGCAAAATGGGAAATAACAAGTATTAGAATGTGGAGAAATTCAAAACTTCTACATTGCTGATGGAGATGTAAAATGGTACAACAATAAACCTAAAATGGATGTAAAACAGAGAAGTTTGGCAACCATTTAAAAAATTGAACATAGAGGGACCAGCAGTTAGCATAATGGCTATGTCGCTGAACTCCCATGTAGTCGACCGCGGTTCGTGTCCCGGACCCGGTGGCTTAAAACTCATGCCGGGTGCGTGTGCATGCGTGCCCAAGATCCCGAGAGGAGAACAAAGGAGAAGGGATTGCGGAGTGGTCATCCCCCCTGGGGGGGGGGGATGTGTTGCTTTCTGTCTCTCTGTCTCTCTCTGTCTGGCGAGCGCACGTGCCCTATAGCAAAAAAACTCTCAAAAAAAAAAAAAATGAACATAGAGTAACTATGCTAACGTAGCAATTTCACTTCTAAATATTCTGGTAGTACTCCCTTTTCTGTGAGAGATGTTTTAAGCTCCCTTGGTGAATGTCTGAAACCACAGAGTACCAAACCCTTTATGTATTATGCGCAAATTTCTTTATGCAGGCCTCAACTACTCTTGCAGGTGGGTGGGTGGTGGGGCATTATTATGTAAAACAAAGGCTATCTGGACAAACACCAACACTGTGAAAAAATGACAGTTGATCTGATAACCAAGACAGCTGTTAAGTGACTGAAGAGTGGGCAAAGGAATGATTCACATCCACGTCAGAATGGAGCAAAGTGGTGTGATATTCATTTTACTACTTAGAAATGCATGTGATTTAAAACTTACGAATTGCTTATTTTTGTAATTTTCCATTGAATATTTTCAGACCATAGTTGACTGTGGGTGACTGAAGCTGTGAATAAGGGGGACTACTGCATAATTAAGAGAATTGAAAATGTATGTCCATACAAAAAACTGTACGCAACTGTTGTTGGTAACATTAGTAACAGTCAAAAAATGAACAAAACCCAAACTGTCCATCAGCTGATGAGCAGATAACCAAAGGCAGTATTATCCATACAATGGAATATTACTCAGAAATAAAAAAGAATGAAGTTCTTCTTTTTGTTACAATATATTGTAGCTGAACCTTGAAAACATAATGTGAAGTGAAAGCCAGCTACAAGATGCCACAGGTCACAGGTCAAGAGTTCCATTCGTGAGAAATCCCCAGGAAAGGCAAAGCTATAGAGACGGAAAGTAGAACAGTGGTGGCTGCCATCTGAGGGGAATGGGCAATGATGAATAATTCACAAAGTGTTTCTTGAGACGATAATAATGTTCTGGAATTAGGTAGTGATAGTTGCATGATCTTAGAACTATTCTAAAAATGGGCAATGGTGAGTAATTCACAAAGTGTTTCTTCTTGAGACGATAATAATGTTCTGGAATTAGGTAGTGATAGTTGCATGATCTTAGAACTATTCTAAAAACTACTGAAATGGATACTTTAAAATGATGACTTTTATATCGGGTTGTCGGGAAAGTCATGGTACATTTCTGCACAGAAAAATACGTCGTGACTTTCCCGGTGACCTAATATGTGCACCTTAATTGTGAAAAGACTATATGAGGGTGTTTAAAACAGAATTTTAAATTACAGGGATACATGGAAAGGAGTAATATGATTATAAAAAAGTGAAAAGAGAAACTTTTGTGGGGTTGGGAACTGTTAAGTATCTTGACTGTCATGATGAATTCACAGACCTACAATAAGTGACAAAACTGCTAGAATTAGTACATAAATAAGCAAGTGAGCTTAAATCAAACTGGGGAAATCAGAGTAAGATCAGTAGATTGAGGACCAGCAGTTGGTGTAATGGATATATTGCTAGACTCCCACATAGTCGACTGCAGTTACGAGTCCTGGACCTGGTGGCTTAAACTCACTCCGGGCGCATGTGCATGCGTGCCCAAGATCCCGAGAGGAGAATGGAGGAGAAGGGATTGCAGCGTGGCCATTCTCCCTGGGGGGTGATTTCTCGCTTTCTATCTCTCCATCTCTCTGTGTCTCTCTGGTGAGTGTAATCACCCTATAGCAAAAGCCTCGCCAAAAAAAAAAAAAAAATCAGTAGATTGTGTCAATGTCAACAAAGTGGATGTCACAGTACTTTAATAAAATTTTACTCTTGTAGAAAAGGGCAGAGTATATATATGGTCTGAATGGTGGTTCCCAAAGATACCAGGTTTTAATCCCTGGAACCTGTGAGTCAGGTTGCCTAATCCCACACTGTGTTTAAGTTAATGATTTTGAAATGAGGAGCTGATCCCTGGATTATCCAGGAGGGCCCTAGGTATTGTTAGAAGAGAGAGATCAGACACATAAAAGAGAAGCCAACAAGAAGAAGCGGGCAGAGATCAGAGTGGTGCTCCATAATCAAGGGGCAGGTAGCCACTGCAAGTCAGAGTGAAGGCACAAATTCTCCTCTCCACAGGGAGCATGGCCCTGCTGACACCTCTATTTCAGACTTCCGGCCTCCAGAGTTAAGGACAGAATACATTTCTGTTGTTTAAGGCACCAAGGTGGAGGTAATTTGTCATAGTGGTCATAGGAAACATAATAGGGCGTAAAAAGGAACTCTCTGCATTATTTCCTACAGCTGCATATAAGTCTACAATTATCTCAGTTTAAAAAGACTCCTGGGTGTCAAGTAATATTCTAAGGGCTGATGTAAGTGCCACTGCGTTCGTGGAACTTAGATGCTAGCAGGGAAGACAAACAAGATAAAATATATAGGATGTTAAATAGCCATCAAAGAGCTAAAAAGGTAAAGGTAAAGCATTTTGCTCTCACACCAAGAGAACTTACCTCTTTATTCCCTGAAATGTGCTGCTGGCCATGTCTATGATGCCGCCAGTTGGCCTCGCCACTGCTCCAACTAAACCTTTCCCAACACCTTTAAAGAAGCCAGCTGCTCCTTCTTTTTGAGCTCCTAAGAAGGAAAATAGAAAGTTTTAGACATTTGGATCAAGAATGAAAACAGAATCAATTTGTGAAATACCTGATAATAGCTATTCTCAAAAGAACTACTCTACTTACCTTTGATGGGTTTTGTAACAATTCCTGTTATGCCACTTACAAAGCCCTAGAGGAAAAGCACAATCGAAAATTTACAACATATTCTTATGATGCCAAGAAGAACCAAGTCTGGCATACACACAAAAAATAGAGTTCTGCTTTTTATGTACCATAAGAATTAACATAGTTTCTGAGTTTTATTTAAACTGAAGGTTTTTGAAGATGCTAATGTATTTTTATATTCCACCACGCACTGCTCTTACATCTAAATAATATAAGGAGTAAGAGTTGTATATCTATGTTTTTATTCACAGAGCATGAGTTTAAAAGCTAGTCCCTAGCATGTCCATAACCCAATGAAACTTCTTACAGAAACTAAGCCTTTTCCTCCACGTGTGATCCCTTCTCTAAGTCCAGCTGGTTGCTTATTCATGGCTTCTCTTCTCTTCTGTTGGAAGTCTTCGTCCATAGTTATAGCTGCTACACCTTTGGCCATAGCACTGGTGATTTTGGAGGCAGCACCAGCTAATCCACCTAACAGAAATTACAGTATCCTTAGTAAATCTAAGTATGTTATTAATTGCTAACACCATAATACTAGTAGTCATTCTGTTTCTTACCAACAGCTCCACCAACCAGTGCCTTAAGTCCCAGTGCCATTCCCTCTACAAACTCCTCCGGACCTTGGATGGCTCCCTAACGGCCAAAATACAAAAATAAATCAGGCTATATATATATATTTTTTTAAAGTGAGCTTATTGATAAGATAAATGGTAGTGACAAAAATGATAAAGATCACTTTTCCCAGGGAAAGTGATAGCAGCAAAAGCTTTACATTAAAGGAGTTCTCAGCAATATTTCATAACATAGAAAAGTACATACAGTGTTGGAAGCTAAGTTCCAACTTAGAAGAAAGGAATTTGATAATTCACCAAAGTGTAGAAAGAATGCTTGCTTTGTTGTGAGCAATGAAAAGAAAATAAGTACTCTTGTTAAGTTTCTTTGTTAAAAAGAAGTAAAATACTTTAAAATTCTTAATGTTTCTCATATACTAAATTGCAAAGTAAAAAATAAATACTAATTTTACTCCACTATTTATTACCCTATAGATTTATAAATGAAAGCAGCAAAGTATAGACTGCTTTGACAGAAAGTTAAAAGATACAGATCAATTTTTCCCATTGGTTATTATGATAGCTTTGCACAGTGTCAGCTTGCATGGTTATTTTTACAGTTACTTGCAACTTGCAAAGCAAGATTGCTTGTACATGGTGATCTCCCTTTAGCTGCAGTCTGAAGCCCATCAATCTTTTATATCCCAAGAGAACATTTAAAATTCAATAAATCTGAATATAATCTTAAGTTTACATTTTGAGGGAAAAGGGTAAAAATCTCCCCCAAACTTACCAATGTTTGCTGCAAAAGATAAGAAAATGTCCTTTTGTGTAAATCAAATACTATTTATACATACAACTCAATCACAGAAATGTTATTTATTTAAAATGATCAATGTAATATATTGTACAATACGAGGGTAACTATTTTACCTGATAAGGTTCATAAAAAAATGCTTCTACACCTTCAGAAAATTCTCTAATCAACCCAAAGGGATTTCCCAAAACATCAAGTCCAAGAATGAGTACATACATCTGTTTAATGGCCTAGAAATAAAATATGAACATCAATTTAGATAACTGGACTGGATTTTTTTTTCTTACAGATTATTTAGTACACATATCTAGTTTGCTCAGACTAGCTTGTGTGACTAATTTCAACACCTAAACATGTCAATCACTATTCTTAGTCTTTAAAAAGCAATGTGGGGGGCTAACAGGAAGCATAGTGGTTAAGGCATCAGACTCCCATATGGCTGACTGTGGTTTAAGTCTCAGACCTGGAGGCTTACTTTCTCACTTTCACCCTCTCTCTCTCTCTGGTGAATTAAAAAAAAAATGATAATAATAAATAAAATTCTATAAATAATGATAAAAAAGCACTTTTGTGTTATAATACTGAGATAATGTAACTAACGTATTTAAATGAAACTCTAGAATACTTAAAATACTTTCTCTTAAAAGAAAAAATCTGTGACAGTTATTATTACCACCACCATTTTATAGACTAGAAAACATCTTCAAATGATGTTCGGGGTCACATAGTGAGTGTATGGAAAAGGAGGACCCCAACCGAGATCCTAACCACGCTCGGAGGCTTTTCCACAGTATCACAGCTGTGTCAGATGCTCTAAGTTACACCGTAATATACAGCAGGCTTGCCAAAGGTAGAAAACAACCCACTAAGATTATATTAATCTGACTCAATATCCTGTGTTCATCAGTTACTAAAAAAAAGCATCCCTTAAACCATTTTTTAAAAGTAAGTGTAATAAATTACCTACTTAATCATTTATGTAAAGATTTCTTTCTAGTACACACTGATACAGAAAAAAAAAAATTGTCAGTAGCCAAAAAATTTAAGGGCAAAACATTGAATTGGTGGTTAGTGGTCTTTTCACAATCCTGGGGTGGGGGGGACATGCTTTAAAATTTTGAAAATAGCTATTTACTTTCTTGACGATTCTATGTTATACCTGCACAGTCATGTAAGGTTTTACTCTGTCCTTCTGTAAAACAATCTCACACAAACCTGTTTTGAATAGTGCCTGATTACTTCAGACTGTAGTTCAGATGTTGTATGGAACTGGTAATTGAGTTCAAAAAATGCAAGCCTGGAAAAAAACATACAAATTAAATAGCACACACACACACGCACACACACACACACACACACACGAATGGAGGGAGTGAGAAAATTATTTTAATGTGACCAAATGGTTTTTACCTTCTTTAAATTTTTTTTCCTGAATTTTTCCTTCTAGTTCATTTTCTCATGCTAATCTAAAAATCTACTCTTTCACATATACTTCTGCATGTTCTAGTCATAGACTCCTTTAAGAATCTGATAAAAGCTAAGGATCTTATCCTTCACAAAGTCACCAATACATACAAATTTTCATATATTTTATGAAATTCAGAGAGCCCTTGATCTCATTCAGGGACCATAAGAACTATATTTCCCAACTCTCTCTTATCATGGTCATTACAGAAAATGTTTGACAATGAGGCAAACAGAAGCGGTTGCTGAAATGGCTAGATTCAGTTGCTAAAGGTCCAGCCTAATGGTCTGTTAGCTTGAGTCAAGATCAGCTTACCCATTCACAGCATATATCTGATACTCTAATTGAGAAGCTTGCTGTTGCTGAATATGACAGTAATAAAGGTAGAAATTTCATCCTATTCTTACTGTCATAGAACCTATGATCCTTTTTCTTTTCTTTCCTTTTTTTAAAACTATTACCCAACTCTATCAAGATTCAGAGTTAAGACTTATTAATTCTAACTACTGTTTTTTTTTTTTTTTTTCTTTTTTTGAGAGGTTTTTGCTATAGGGCGCATGTGCTCACCAGAAAGACAGAGAGGCAGAAAGTGAGAAAGCCCCCTCCAGAGGGGGATGGCCACACCGCAATCCCTTCTCCTCCATTCTCTCAGGACCTTGGGCACGCACGCACATGCACCTGGTGTGAGCTTAAGCCACCAGGTCTGGGATTCGAACCACAGTCGACCACATGGGAGTCTAGCGACATAGCCATTACACCAACTGCTGGTCCTGTTACTACTGTTTTTAATAATCAGCTCTAGATGCTACGTGAAAAATTCATCCTCTTTCAAAGTCTCTACTCAGACTCGTTGAGTCTCTTTGGCCAGATACTCTATTACCTTCCACTATGATTCACTTTAAAATATAAATTCTTGACTATAACACTCATTTTCTCTAACATTGGTCTATTCTAATTAAATGTGTTTTTAAGAGTCTCTTCATGTTCTCTAACACTGGTCTATTCTAATTAAATGTGTTTTTAAGAGTCTCAGTTCTAATGGCTTCAGAGCCACATCTTTCCAGCACCACACAACTGGGCATTCACATCTTTAGAACCCTTCCCTAGGCTAGAAATGTCTTCTAAATTGCACGAGTTTGCATAATCTACGTATGTCTCTTTTACTCACAAAATTATCTAATAATTATTCTACAATTTAGTAGTTATGAGTTTGTAGGTAATACATTTGGTGTTATTTTTTTAAACTGCCTTTCCTTTCAAGGAAAAATCACATATTACCTATAATCTACAATGTACTTTACACACTTCTCATTTACAGAATGTTTAGTTAAATATAAAATGACTTTTATACACTTTATAGATATGGATACTAAACATACTTAAAAACTACATCTTGCACATCTGTCAGAGTGGCACCAATACTCTTCAGCAAAAGATTTAAAGAATGAAGTGGAATCAGTCCTCTATGCTGTTCTGGATCTTTAGCTGCTTCTCTACCCGAACTCAGTGAGACACTTAAATGTAACTAAAGAAATAAAGAGAAAAATATTTTAAAAATACTTTTTTATATTGAAAATTCTGCTTTAAAAAATCAGACTCATTTTAAATTCACTACACTTTAAAAGAAGATTATACCAAAATTAGTAAGTGGAAAGTTAAAAGAATTTAAAATCCAACACAACTCTATTTAAATTTTAAATTCAACAATTTAAGATTACATGATACTTAGTTCAATCCCATTCTTTTAATGAACTTAGGAAAAAGTATTAATTTTATACATTTGTTAATTACACTAACATCCTGGAAGCTGAAGCCGTGAAAATAACTCAAATATCTTCAAAAGTAAACATTTCCACTATGAGAACTTAGTATGATGAAGCAAGTTAAAAAGCACTCTTGTATTTTATATTGCATACATATTCTGTATACGTTGTTGTACAGTAATTTTCTTTAAGTACTGTGAAGTAATTCACATAAATTTTGTGTTAAAAACTCTTAGCTTCCATTCTATTCAGTCTTCAAGACTACTTTATAAATTAATTTAAAAGTGACACACACATCATATATAAAATCTTGAACACTGTTTCCAAACAGCTTAATAGAAAATTAAGGTAAAATAATGCTAGGTCAAGACAGGAACATAGCAACACATGCTAAATTTGGCCCCACTATTATTTCTATATGGTAAAAAATTATTGTAAGGAAAAATAAATGAAAAAATTTCAAGATTATTCCTGTGTTATTTATTTATATTTGTATTGTAACCTTATAGAACTTCATATACTATTGAGGAACATAATTGAAATGCTAATATCCCAATAGATCAAGTCAATTTGCTATTACCTAGATTACCAAGGACAATAAAAATGACTTTTTCCCCCTACCTTAATAGGAGATATATGAAAATATTCATAGAGACTGACTTGTGATTGATCTACTAATGAATCTGTTTTATAATCTTCTTTGAAAGCTTCTATATCTTTATGAAAAAGTTCAACCTATAAAATGAACACAAAATATTAAAAATTAAAAAGAACTATCTGCATAAGATATTTAAGTTAATAGCTTACAATCTGTAGAAAACTCAATAATGTACACACTCAATATTGCTCATATTATAAAGTTACTGCCCTCAGAAGGGAAACTAATGTTTCTAAGGAAAGTCTGCCTGCCACTTAGAAACTGATAAATATATCTTCTGTTTCTATCCAAACCATTAAAAGACACTAAGCTTTTTTTCACCTGACAGCAGATCTTATTCCAAAATGCTCCTAATCCATTTCATCAACACACTGCTGGGAATATTTGGTTAAGCACAATTATATAGTCCACTTGTAAAATTTTAGTAACTACTTTACTGCAGTCTGCAGAAGGCAATTATATAAAAAAGAGGGAACATGCTGAAAATAATTTTGTATGGAGTAATATTTGTTTTCTGTCTTGATAATCATCAATACTTCTCTTCTAAACACAGTCTGAAATTAGTTCTATGTGTTAAAAAATGGAAAATTTATAGTTTAATCTATTCATAAAAACACAAAACTGATAGCCTTATAAAAAGAATATTTGGAAATCAACTTTTAGAATGACAGTGTGAGGAGCTCTTCAGACGAGCACATCACGTAGCTCATGAAATTTATTTATAAAAACAAATGCTTAAGAACTCTAGAGCATAAGCAAATGAAGAAAACTTTTAAAAATGTTAAGAAAAATGAGTTTCTGGTATTTGAACAAAGATCATTCTTTCTGTACTCTCTCCCAGATCAATGAGCCAAAGCACTCTAGATGCCCACACCCAAGAACACTAGCTTTTTCTTGGCCCAGCCCGCATTAGAGGAATAAGCAGACTATAAAGTAAAGTCTGTAAAAAGACACAAAGAAGATCATTAAGTCATATTAAAGGAATGAACTCACAATGATATAACAGTTATAAATATTCACCATCCAACAGTGGGGCAACCAAATACATAACACAAATGCTGTTAGTGCTGTTAGTTCTTACAGGAGATACAGACTATATAACACATTAATGGCTGGAATTTCAACCCCATACTCTGAGCATTGGATAGGTCAGCTAAACAAACGCTAGAATTAAAACTATGCCCTAAACCAAATGGACTGATGGACATTTACCCTTCACTCCACAAACACAGAATACATATTTTTTTCAGTGACACATGAAACTTTTTCTAAGACTAACTACATAATGGGGCACAAAATAAGTCTCTACAAAGATCAAAGAAAACAAATCACATCTAGCAGTTTCTGATTGTAATGGAATTAAATCTGAAATCAACAACCAAAAACACTCTAGAAAATACACAACTAAATAGAAACTAAACATGCTCCTAAATGCTTTCAAGTCTACTGGAGAAATTGAGGATGAAACTAAAATATTTTTTTTAAAAAAAGGATAATAAATAACCTACACTCCAGAACCTCTGGGACACAGCCAAGGCAGTACTAAGAGGGTACCAATAAAAGACTAAGTACTGGGACCAGCAGTTAGCGTAATGGCTATGTCGCTGGACTCCCATGTAGTTGACCGCGGTTCGTGTCCCGGACCGGGTAGCTTAAAACTCACACTGGGCGTGTGTGCGTGCGTGCCCAAGATACTGAGAGGAGAAAGGAGGAGAAGGGATTGCAGCGTGGCCATCTCCCCTGGGGGGATGATGGCTCGCGGTCTCTTTGTCTCTCTCTGGCAAGCGCACACGCCCTATAGCAAAAAGCTCTCCAAAAAAAAAAAAAAAAAAGACTAAGTACCAAGTAGTGTTCATGAGAAAAAAAAAAAAATAGAAAAAATGGCAAGTAAACAACTTACCAGTGCATCTCAAGGAACTGGTAAAGCAAGAACAAGCAAAATTCAAAAGTAGTAGAAAAAACAAATAATAAGGATTAGAGAAGAAATAAATGAAATAAAGAATAAAAGAGTAATACCCAAAATATCAATTTAACAAAAAAAACTGGTTCTTCAGAAGAATAAGGAAAACTGACAAACCATTAGCTAGATTAAGAAAAAGAGGACATTCAGAAAAACACACTCAGAAATGCAAAAGGAAACAGTTCAATGAATATTACAGAAACAGATAGTAATCAGGGACTAACTATGATTGATGTGTGCCAATAAGCTGAAAACTTAGAAAGTAGGAATCAATTTCTGGACTCACATACTACACCTAGATTTGAATCAAGAAGATACAAAAAGCCTCAATAGTGCCTAGATTTAAATCTGGAGGATACAAAAAGCCTCAACAGCTTAATAACAAGTAATGAGACTAAATAAGGAATAAGCAGATCTCCTAAAAAATAAAAGGCCAGGTCCAGACGGCTTCACGGCTCACTTTTACTAATCTTTTAAAACAGAATTAACACCAATTCTCAAACTATTTCTAAAAATCCAAATGGAGGAAATCCTCCCAAATTCATCCTATGAAGCCACCATCTCCTTGATATTAAAAGCAGTCAAAGACACGACAAAATTAGGAACCTATACCTGATGAATAGAGATGCAAAACTCCCGAACAAAATACTAGCAAACTGAATCCAACAGCACATGAAAAAGATTATACAACATGTCCAAGTAGGATTATCACAAGGATGCAAGGGTGATCTAACACATGCAAAACAATGAATACATCACATCAACAGAAGGAAAGACAAAATCATGTAATATCAATTGATGCTGAAAAAAGTATTTGATAAAGTACATCTCATTAAGATTTTTAACAAAATTGGATATATTTCTTTTTTTTTCCCCTTACCTTTTTTGCCATAGGAAGAGATACAGAGAGAGGGAAAGTGAGAAATCATACCCCATGAAGGATGGCCACATCATAATCCCTTCTCCTCTATTCTCCTCTCAGGATCCTGGGCACACACAAACATGCTCCCTGTGTGATTATCAAGCCATGGAGTCCATGACTCGAACTGTGGTTGGCCATGTGGGAATCTAGTGCCTTAACCACACCATCTGCTGGCCTGAGAAGGTATACTTCTTAACACAAGGTTGTACAGGACAAATCTACAGCTAACATCACGTGCAACAGAGAAAGTTGAAAGTTTTTTCTCTCAAAACTGGGAAAAAAAAAACTTCTTAGAGATGATAAATTCAGCAAAGTTGAAGAATGCAAAATGAACATACAAAAATCTGTAACATTTTATACTCTAACAATAAGCAAACTGAAGCCAAAATGAAGAAGTTAATTACACTTACAATAGCCACAAAAGAAAAAAAAAATCTAGGAATAAATCTAAATTAAGACATAAAAGATCTCTTCTTAAATTTTTTAAAATCTAAAATAAAGGAATTGAAAAAGACAAAAACAAAACAAAACAAACAAAAAAACAGAAAGACATCCTTTGTGTATGGATTGAAGAACTAGCATAGTAAAACATTGATATTCCCCAACTACAAACTCAATGCAATTCCTAATAAAATTTCAGCAACATTATTCATAGAGAAAACAATTATAAGATCTGTCTGGAATCACAAAAGACCCCATATCACCAAACAAAATGATATGAAGAGGATAAAGTTAGAGGTATCTTAGGACCAAACTTCGAAGTATATTACAAAACCTTAATAACCAAAGCAACATGGTACTGGCCACAAAACAGACACATGAGCCAATGGAACAGAACAGAGAACCCAGAAATAAACTCGACAACATACAGCCAACTGATTTTTGATAAAAGGCACAGATAATCCAGTTGAGAAAATACACTTTTTAATGAATGGTGCTGAGGAAAATGGGTGTCCACATACAGAAACAGGAAACTAGAGGGACCAGCACATGGCATAATAGTTATGTTGCTGGACTCCCACACTGTCAACTGCAGTCCAGGTCCTGGACCTGGCAACTTAAAACTCACTATGGGTGCATATGTGTGTGCCCAAGATCCCAAGAGGAGAATGGAGGAGAGGGGATTGTGATGTGGCCATCTCCCCTGAAGGGTGAGTTCTTACTTTCTGTCTCTCTGTCTCTCTCTATCTCCAGCTAGCGCATACACCCTATAGCAAAAATCTTTTTTTTAAAAAAAAGAAAAATGAAACTATACCCTCATCTCTCATCATTCCTACACACTAACTCAAAATGAATAAATACTGAAAAAAAGCGCCAAACCATAAAACTACTGGAGCAAAATACTGGAGTGACACTTTAAGATATTGGAGTAGACAAATATTTCTTAAATAAGACTCCTAAAGAAAGGGCAATAATACCAAACATAGTTAAGTGGGAGTATATCAACCTAAAAATTTTTTGCAAGGCAAAACAAATAATAAATTCATAGTCCACAAAATGGGAGAAAATATTTGCAAACCATATAGTTCAGATAAGGGACTGACATCAAGAATATACAAAGAATTCAAATAAGCACCAAAGAAAACTTAATGATACAATTAAAAAAGTCATACTCTACCCCACAAACATCTACATCAAATCCATGTAAACTAGAAATCATAATTAAAATGAGAAAAGAAAATATGATTGGAGTACTGAAAAAAAAGTACTCGTAAAAGTGACTGAGTAATTATAAAAGACAATATAAATACATAGTTTTTCCATCAATAAATATAAATTTTGTATGTTGTAGGTGTTTTGTTCTGTATTTTTACAGTAAAGTAAGCTAGAAGAAAGGAAGTATTACTATGGAAATCTGAAGAAAAATATGTTTAGAGCACTGCCTTCTATTTTTCTATGTATTTATTTAGAAAAATCCATGTACAGGTGGACTAAGGAAGTTAGGCCCACATTTTTCAAAGGTCAACTGTATATAAAATCAGAAAAATAGAATTTAAAAAATATGTCACCAGCAACACAGAGGACATGTTAAGAGTGATAAAATGATTAATTTATCCAGAAGATGTAGCAATTATAAAGATATATATACTGAATAACAGAGTAATAAAATGTACATAGCAAAAATGGACAGAAATGAAAGGATAAATAAATTCAAGAATAATAAATAAAAAAAAATTTAAGGTTTTTGCCATTGG